GCACTTCCTGGTCACAAAACGTTCTGTAAATGCGCAAATTATGGCAAAAATTATTCATCATTAAATCTGGTTTTAACATTACTTTTATAAAGTTTGAAGTTCGTGCTGTCCAATCACTGTTTTTTACAGAAGCCCTGTGAAAGCATCACAGCTTTGCCGATCTCAGAGTGTTAAAAGAAAAAAAATTCCCGTATCCGCATCGTGATCCGGAACATCAAAATTTAAAGGTGTGTTCCTTGGCCCAGTACCCACATGTGGAAAAAATGCCATGACAGTCTGTTCATAAGTTTTTGAGTAATGTTGTCCACAGACAGAATGACAGACAGACATACTGTATGCGACCGAAAACATTACCTCGCCCTTGGCGGAGGTAATGACTCATGAAAGAATGAAGTTACGTTAAAGCCAAGCATACCATTGTTTTTCTTGTGAAATTCTAAATAAGTTTGATGTGTCACATGACCCTCTTCCCATTAAAAATACTAAAATTGGACCCAAAATGGCGGCCATGGTCACCACCCATCTTGAAAGGTTACCCCCCTCCCAAATATTAATGAGTCACAAACAGGAAGTTAATATCACCAACCATTCCCATTTTATTTACAGTAGGTGTTTCCATATAAATGGCCCACTCTGTAGTTCTTTAAAAAGAAACTACGTTTAAAGTTGAAGTTGGTCACACATCCCTTTTGTTTTTCTCTCACCCTCTGTGGCATAAAAACAATCTGTCATGACTTCTATCTTCTTAGCGTTGTTTCCATCTTCATCTCATGTTTCAAAAACTGTAATCACTACAACATAGACAGATGACTAACAGCTGTAATTGCGGCTGTTGTTTTTACTGGCACATGTATGAGTGATGTAAGCAGCAGTTACATAATGGCTGTGTTCAGTGTCTGTACAGGAATGAGAGTGCAAACAAGAGAAATAGTTTTATAGGCATTCCATTGTGGAGCTTCTCTTTTATAACCCTCAGACAGCCTTTTTTGCTACTTCTGTTTTCACTGTGTTTGCTTTTCTGGATATGAAATAGGTTTTAATTGTCTGCAGAAAAACCTTTGTAAAGAACTAATAGCTATATTCTCATAATATTTATACAAATGCTTTTTTGAAATTTGCATTAAAATAAAAGAATGTTCTTAAATATTGAAACAGACTTTTTCTTGTGCAGTGGTGCATCAAGAACAGAGAACTCTTCCTTGGCCTTTTGCTCAGCCTCAGTCCCCTCAGCGGTTAGTATCTTCCCAACGCTCCCACTCTGTCAGCGTGGGCTCGTCCCCCAGCAGGGTGCTGCCTCCGTCATCCTCCCCTGGGAGCAGCAGGGAGCAGAGTGTACAGCTGCCCCACATAGAGCGCTGCAGGACGAGACGCAGCAAGTAAGATCTGACTCAGTTACTGTCTTATCACTAACCGAATAACAAGAAGTCAGTTAATCACTGAGGCTCCAGACTCATAGATGAAACATTAGGTCCAATAAAATAATGAGGTCTTTACAAGAGGTAAAACTGTAACTTCATATCAGTAAGCTGGTATTAAACTCAACTGCACAAACGCAAAATTCTCTGAATGGATTCAAATGTATTCAGATCAAATAATCCAAATGTATCGTTAATATGGGCACAAAATTAACTAATCCAATTATGACGAGTGTTTACACACACCAGGCTTCTATTCAGAAAAGAAGTACTGACATGCGTAGCGTTTTAAACTTTCCCTAATAAAAACACAGAAGAAGAATTCTGCTTCGGTGATGAACATAAATATTCTGTTTTCTGAAAGCCCAGAACGAACCCACGCCAGGTTTTAATCATGCTGGAGTCGTTACTGCACTACAAGTTTCAAAGTTTCTAATAGAAACGAATCACTAAACTACATGTTAGCATGTAGCTTGGTGAAAATACGTCAGGTTTATGTAGGGCAGGGATATTCAACTAAACTGCTCCAGAGGCCACAGTTACTGCAGATCAACAGCTGAGGGGCCCAACATCCAGCAATTAAAGTTATTATGTAAATAAACCAAGTATTACAAAGACCTGTTACATTTGAAATAGTTTATTTTGCTGCTTTTAATCATTAATACAACATACAGAACCCTATAAAAGTGATTAATTAAAGAATATCAAAAACAAAACACATTATGCCTCCTATTTGTGACCCATCATATCGAAATGAGGATTTAGTCAAATTTGGTCATAATGACCTAATTACATTTTCAGATTCTTGTCTTTAAAAGCTACATTTTGATACCTGGATCATTCTGATACCTTAATAAAATCCATATACAGTATATGACTTAATTTGTCTTGTTGGTTACAATAATACATAAATATTTAGTCTGAATCCTAATTTTGTGTCATTTTAATGAGGAATTTTTGATGTCCTAATAAAAAGGAAACCTTAAGTTATGTTTGAATATTGAGATTTCCCAGCTAAAAAGAAACAAAACTTTGTTAACTCACAGGGAAAATCTCAAAATTCTAAGGTGTTTTTCCTGAAAATCAGTTTTTTTGTTGCTACTGCTCAAAAAGTGCTTCATAATTTTGTTTTATGATTATATTTCAGACAGTTCATTCAAATGATACATTGAGAAGGCTTTTATTCATTATATTTTGACAAAATGCAATTTTTGTTAACATTTTAGTATAAAACACTATATTTGCCTACATTACTTTTAGACTTAATCCTTGTTTCGATGTGATGGGTCACATTTAACACAATATTTTGACATCTCTGACTTGTCAAATGTTTAAACGAATTTTATTTTCACTTTCATAGTTTTATCTACAACAGCTTGTAGTTTTAAGTGTCTTGGGTGTTCATAGCAATGGTTTTTACCAACTTCTAGCCAAGCTTCTGACAGTTCTGTAGATACCAAACATGTCTATGTTTAACTAAAATAATTCATAGTAATTAAAGTAGAAAACCAGGGGTTTGGACTTAAGAGATAAATGAACCAATTTGGGCTGAACTTTGATCACTCGCGGGCCAGATGTGGCCCACGGGCCACCAGTTGAATAGTCCTGATGTAGGGCCTCTCATGCAGACAGGTCTGTTTTCCACACATGATCAGAATAAGTTCAGATTATAATTTGGCATAAACCATTGTGGCCAGCCTAAGGCACACCTGTGCAATAATCATGCTGTCTAATCAGTATCTTACCTGCACAGTGGGATTCATTAACTCTGCAAAGGAGAAGTGCCCCCTAACAGATTTATACATTTCTGAACAATATTTGAAGGAAGGTTTATTGTGTTTATAGAAAAAGTCTTAGATATTTGAGTTCAGCTCAAGAAAAATGGGAGCAATAACAAAAATGCTGTGTTTATTTATTTTTTTATTTTTCTTTGGTAAGTTTTAATAAGCCCGACAGGGTTGTTGAACACATTCTGGTGTTGTCATCATTTGAAGTAATTTGTGTAGAAATTCAAGCAGGTCTGCTCAGTTTCTTGCTGTATTTCTGTTATTTGTCCTTTCTTTTGTCTACTCAGGCAGATCACTGTCTTCCTGCTTCTAACTGTGTCTGTTTCTTTCTCTTTCCCTTCTGTGTTATTGTTTTTTGTTGCTTGTTCCACCCAATTTATCTCTTTTTTGATGAAACGGTCTTCTTTTCACTGTTACCATTATTTTGTGACCCATCTTTAGCTCCCTCAATAGATCTCAGCTGGGCTTTCATTGATCAGACTGGCACTGCTGCTTGTTCCTCTTTAAGGAAAGCTGAGTGTCTGTTTGTGAGACTTGGAGAAGGGGAGTTCTGTTAGGATAAATATTTGACTCCAACGAGGAGAAAAAGGCAGTTTCCCTTATTATGTTTAGTCCTTATCAACTCTGCACAGAGTAAAAGAAGCTCAGTGTTTTCTGCTTGCCTTTTTTAGAACCCAATAAACAATCTGCCACAAACCTTTCTTTTTGAGATTGTCTGTTATTCAACTCTCAGACATGTGAATTAATATCAATGAGCTTGTTTGTAAGTATATACAGCTTGAGGATCACTTAGATTTTTTTGTTGGATTTCATTCATGACTGCAATTTGTTTCTGTTGTGTATGTTTTTTGTTGCATAATTAGCCCATTTTTATCCTCTGTTTTTCTTGTTTTTCTACCTTTTATTGTTCTTTGGTTTGAACTTTCTTCTCCCTGGTATTCCCTTTTTTTTCCTGCTTTGTATCTTCTTTGCTTTTGTTTTGTTTTTTTCTCCTTTGTCAATCTTGCTGCTGGGGACTTTCAGCCAACAGGGTTTAGCTGCCAGATCCAGTCTGTACAGCAGGCACATGGACAGCAGGACGTTGGGACTGCTGGACTTGTCAGGTAAGGTGTTAAAAACATTCAGACATCTTTCTCAAGCTAGTAAATATAATTTATACTGGTATTGTATTATTTGTCAGTTTAAATAATTGTTTTCATTTTGATATTCAGTATATTAAAGAATAATACAGTTTAATAATCCTGACATAAGCAATGGTAAATGGACTGTACTTATATAGCCCCTTTTTAATTCAACCAGGATACTAAAGCACTTTAAACTACAATCTGTGTCCTCGTGATCCACACACATTCATTCAGGACTTTATTAGATCTCTGCAAAGATAATACAATAAATCAATCTATAGAGACTAATCAGTGCTTTAAATCAGAGAGGGCCTCAAAAGAACAACAGTTTTTCACCGCCCCAGCTTCTCGCCTATTGGCCGACAGGCGAGAAGCTGGGGCGGTGACGCTTTTCTTAAGACCGCCTCCTCTGTTTTTACATTCCCTGCTGCATGTGGAGCTGGAAAAGACAATACAGCCAGCAAGAAATGTCAAAAAAAGAGATGAAAATAAATGGGAAATGCTCAGGGAAATGTGTTTGGTAAAAATATACAACAAAGGAATATAATAGAAGAAAATATATCAGTGTTTAAG